GTTGCAGCCCTTCGTGGCCCCGTTGCAGCCCTTCGTGGCCCCCTCGCTGCCCTTCGTGGCCCCATTGCGGCCCTTCGTGGCCCCCTCGCTGCCCTTCGTGGCCCCATATATGTATGCCCTTCGTGGCCCCCGCTCGTTCGCGCCGGTTTTGGCCCCATGTGCATGCCCTTCGTGGCCCCGCTGTCGCCGTGTGTGGCCCCCTCACTGTCCTACGTGGCCCAATTGCTACCTTCAGTGGCCCCATCGTTGCCTTCTGTGGCCCCGCATTATCTGCCTTTCGTGGCCCCCGCTCGTTCGCGCTCTTCGTGGCCCCATACGCATTCCCTTCGTGTCCCCGCTGTCGCCCTTCGTGGCCTACTTCGTGTCCTTCGTGGCCCTGCTGTCGTTCTCTCTCGCTCTCGCTTTCGCTCGTCGTCGTCGTCGTCGTCGTCGTCGTCGTCGTCGTCGTCGTCGTCGACGTCGTCGTCGTCGTCGTCGTCGTGGTCGGTCCCCTGTCCGTCCCTCTGGGGTCGGGTCGACGGTCCGCGGCCGCCCCGCCGATCAGCGCTGCCGCTGGCCAGGCCGACGGTCCGCGGCCGCCCCGCCGCTTGCCGGGGCCCGGCCTGCAGGGAAGAAAGGTATACCCCCCAAAAGGGGTTCGATCGAAGACGAAGAGGGCGGGTATCGAGGGTTTGGGAAATACGCGTTATTGGACACTCGAGCAGATAAGGGCGAACAGTCTTAAAATGATTGTTGTTGTTGTTGTTGTTGTTGTTGTTGTTGTTGTTGAACATTATTAATTCTAAAGAATAATTATTGTTGGGCCCCCTGGTGCGCGCCCCCCCTGCGCCGCCTAGGCCGCAGCTACATTTTCATCATTTTCGTGAGGAAGCCTCAGAAAAGATGTGATCAGGATCCGGTTGTTTTGTTCCCCCCGCTTTCCCTTGCAAAAAACACTATAAAATGACATTTCTTGTTCTAATATAATCAAATTTCAAGAATCCCTTGCAAAAAATAAGGTAAAGTGGACATTCGCGCGCGCAAGACGAAATCCTTCCAAAAGCTTAGTGTTCGGAGCGATTTCAACATAAAAACATCAAAAAACCAATGGTTTTTCAACAAAAAAATGTCAAAATCTCATCCCGCGCGCTCTTGCGGATTCGTAGGAAACCCAACACTTTTTCAACATTTCTGTCAAACGGGCTTTTGCGAGCAACTTTTTCGAACTTCTGCGACAACGGTTGCGCACCTGCCAGGGCCATCATCCCTGTCAAATAATACCATGCGGGACAGATTCGTTTTTTCTTCGCGCGCGCACGCCGAAATCTCCAAAAACCATTGGGTTCTTAAGAATTTTACCACCGCGCATCATAAAATCACACGAATCGCACCGTAGGTCCTCGAAAAACAGCTGCACGACTTTTCAAAATTTCCACCCGCGCGCGCTGTCCGAATCCTAAAAAAAAAAACAATGGTTTCCCAATGCTGCCTCACACATGTGACGAATCTCTTTCTATCTCTCTCTCCACTGGCTCTCTGTCTTGCTCTCTCTCTCTCTCTCTCTCTCTGTCTCTCTGTACTATGTATGTCATACGCAACAAATGCACCATGCGGGGCACATGCGGGGCCCAAACAAGTGATCAACCTCTGCGGGTGTGTACTCCACGCCAGTGTAGTATCCACGATCGTCCGCGCGCCACGAAGTGAAGTGTCCTGACGTCATAGGGCGGGAAGCTGGGTGTGGGTGGTTCCCGAGAGTCGTGTGGATGTTTGGTAGAGCTTGCATTGCCCCCCCACGAAGTGGGGGTATTGGCTGGCGTCGCATGAAAACCCTGGCACTGGGGAGAACACTGAGCGTTCGGGTAAAATGATTGTTGTTGTTGTTGTTGTTGTTGTTGTTGTTGTTGAATTCTCATTTCTGAAAAATCATTATTGTTGATCCCCCCACCGGTGTACATTGTTTTTTCTCAATCAAAGTGTGCCCCTCGACGCTCGCACCCAGTTTTTTGACAGGGAAAGTCTTCCTGCTCAAACTGGCCCCCTGCCCCCCGGGTTACAACAACAACGGCTCCCGCCTGAGACTTCCTCACAATTTAGCCAGGACCCCCGCTCCCGCCCGAGACTTCCTCGCATTCTATTCAGGAATCGCGCTTTCGCATGGGACTTCCTTGCAATGTATTCAGAGATCGCTCTCCCGGCGCTCTGGAGTCGCGCTCTCGCTGGAGACTTGCTTGCAACTTACTGAAGAATGGCCTTGCGTTGGAATTTCTTGCAATTTGCCCAAGCGCCGCGCTCCCGACACCCAGGCACCCAGGAGTCGCGCCCGTTGTGGCCCCATGTGCATGCCCTTCGTGGCCCCGCTGTCGCCATCTATGTCCCCCATCACTGTCCTACGTGGCCCAGTTGCTACCCTCAGTGGCCCCATAGTTTCCTTCTGCGGCCCCGCACTATCTGCACTTCGTGGCCCCCGCTCGTTCGCGCTCTTCGTGGCCCCATACGCATTCCCTTCGTGTCCCCGCTGTCGCCCTTCGTGGCCTACTTCGTGCCCTTCGTGGCCCTGCTGTCGTTCTCTCTCGCTCTCGCTTTCGCTCGTCGCCGCCGTCGTCGTCGTCGTCGCCGTCGTCTTCGACGTCGTCGTCGTCGTCGTCGTCGTCGTCGTCGTCGTCGTCGTCGTGGTCGGTCCCTTGCCCGTCCCTCTTGGGGTCGGGTCGACGGTCCGCGGCCGCACTGCCGATCAGCGCTGCCGCTGGCCAGGCCGACGGTCCGCGGCCGCCCCGCCGCTTGCCAGGGCCCGGCCTGCAGGGAAGAAACGTATACCCCCCAAAAGGGGTTCGATCGAAGACGAAGAGGGCGGGTATCGAGGGTTTGGGAAATACGCGTTATTGGACACTCGAGCATATAAGGGCGATCAGTCTTAATTCTTTACATATATAACATATTTTTATCTCTCCTTTGCTCATCTCGAAAAATTACGCTATCTTTGAATATTTTGGGGTATCATTTTTTTCTGTTGCGTTTTCTTTATTTTTCGTGCAAAATCCGCCTGTAGGGGGACATGTCCGACCGAACGTTAGTCGTTGCATGACATGTTGCCCCGAATCAAGCCTCCGGGTCGGTTTTGGAGGTCGCCGTGGCGATCGTGGCGGCCACAAATCGGAGCATCATTTTTGTCAAGGAGTGGCATGCCCCTTCCCAGCCCCCCCCCGTGCTCTGCGACGTAGACGTGGCTCATAATCAACGATACAGCGATGAAGAGGTGTCAATGTATGTCCACATGGGCAGCCATATTTTGGGGCGACTATATGGGGTCGACAATCACGCAGCCACTCAGGACTCTCTGAAACTTTCCTGGGGCGAGTTCTGATCCGAAATGGGGCGTACGCAACCTACATGGGCATCTTCGGGTACCGTGGTTTGTTTTTGATTCGCTGGAGGCCTGCTTGGGCGTTTGTTTTTGGTTTGTGTTGTTCATGCTTTTGTTCTTGTCTTGTTTGTTTTGTCTTGCCTCTTAAGGGTTATCTTGGGGCCTCTGGGGGAACGCTGGGCCGTCTTGAATTGGTCCCAGGGCATCTCGCAGCCAGGCATCTCGCAGCCGCTGGGGTCGGTTTTGGGGTGCCCCGGGACCGTCTCAGGGGCGAAATAAGTGCAAGAGAGACAAAGTATGGCGGGGGCGATTTCTGACCCAGGTTGCGACGATCGACGAAGAGTAATAATAACAATGATAATCATCAGAAGAGGGATAATGATAATATTAATAATCGTAATTCGAATAATAATGCTACTAATGCGAATTATCAGCTGCATAAGCAGTAATCTTCTGAGCTCCGCGCGGAGTTCTTGGATCTGCGCTGGGCCCCCCCGGCGGCGTCTCCAGTGCCGCCCCTCGCGCGCTCCGTGCGGCAGGGCGGGGGTGTCTGGCGCCGATCCCAGGAGTCCGCGCGGAGCTCCGAAAGTTTTGCTTTTAGGCAGTTTTTTTGTGCCTGTAGATGTTCTCCGTTAATTCTCGACGGGGCTGGGTCTCCTCCTCCTCCCCCTCCTCCTCCTCCTCCTCCTCCGCCTCCCCGTCCTCCTCCTCCTCCTCCTCCTCCTCCGCCTCGCCCTCCTCCTCCCCCTCCTCCTCCCCCTCCTCCTCCTCCGCCTCCGCGGCTGTTCTGTGCTCTTCCACCCGCTCTGGTGCGCCCAGTGCCCGGCGCGGCCCGCCGGCTCGGCAGTCGCGCTTGCGTCCGCCGGGGCCGCCGACAGAGGAGTGCCTCTTCAGGAGGGGGGCGGGGGGGGGAGCCCCAGAGGTTCAGTTTGAGTCGGGCCTGTCCCTCTACAGGAGGAATCTTCCAAAATAATGAAAAAATAGTCTGGGGACGATTGTTTTACTATGCTAGGCTATTTTTGAATATTTTTGGGTTACTTGTTAGTTTTCGTCCAAAATCCGCCTGCAGGGGGACATGCCCGACCTAAAGATATTCAGTTGCGCTGCCGCGCGATTCCGCCATCGCGCTCGGGTGGGTGGCGGGGAGGGCGCCTCGGGGGGAGAAGGGGGGATCGTCCACGGACCCCTCCCGTCCTACGCTTTTTGTGGATGGGGCCGTTTTTTACGCTTGGAATCGGTATCCTTTAACCGATCCCCATCCCCATCCCCATCCCCTTCGAGACCCCCACCAAGTTACCACCCCAGTTGGGGATACACCCCTCGAAACCCGAAGGGAACGGCCTATATGCCCTTCTAGGGGGGTGAATCGGTTAGTGGGGCCCAGGCCACGCCGCTGGGGATGGGGATCGGTCAAACGATACTCATGGAAGGCCACAAACGCAGGGACTTGGCCACAAAAGTGAACGCATCTTGGGATTGATGCGTCGGAGGTCTTTAGTGCTTCGCAGAAAGCGAAGAGGGCCCGACGCACACCAACCGCTGCAAGCGCGGTGGCGGATCTCTTGAAACCTTACCAGACAGCTGACATATTTTTCAACACGCCCGACCGTGCCGAGGGAACGGTGGCGGCTTGCTGGACAAGGTGTGGTGGGGTCACATGATCCAGCACGACCAGGGTGCTTTTGACGAGACCATCCTCGAGGTGCTCGGCCTGGAAAATTCCGCGACATCCGCCGGGCCTGTTTACGACAGTCACTGTTTGCCCTTCGCTTTCCCGAGCGAAGAGGGCAACGAGATGATCGCACTGTACGCGATGTGCTGGTGGAATGAGGTGGAGCGCCTCGCTGGTAAGCCTGGCAAGCGCCGCTCGCGGATGGTTGGGTTCGTGGACCCACGGAGAGCGGACATCAACCACGTGGTCGGGTTCCGGGGCACCGACGTGCCCGCCCTGCTCTACCACTTCGCTGGCCGGTCGAAGGAGTGGGACGAGATGCTGGCCAAGTTCGGCATTCCGCGCCGCCACACCGCCGACTGCGCCAAGGTGTTCCGCGTTGTGGACGAGGCCGCAGGGCAGCGCGCCTGTGTGCCAGGCAACGCAGGCGTGGAGGACCTGTTCGGCCACTGCCCTCCCGACCTCACAGTGTGCTGACCGAGCGGGCCCCTCGCAAGCAACAGGGCACCCCCCGGCCTCTGACAGCCTCACCTTCTCAATCCGCGGGCGCCCCAGGAGTGCGTCGGCCCCCTTCCTCTGGGGGGCAGCCTCTCCTCCCAGATCCCTCTGTGATGGCCCTCTGAGACCCCTGGGCCCGAAAAGCGGGCCGCAGAGGTCGGAACTGGGGAGAATCGGGCGGGGTTAGGGCCAGGATCCGTCGATCCAGAGAGTTCCAGAACGCCCTCACAGCAGTCCGGAGCGCTCTTGGATGGCCGCGGCGCCCGATGGCTCCCCCAGAATTGCCGGATCGCAGAGATCCCCGATGATCCTGGTGCGATTCTGTCATGGCCCTGGCGAATTTGGGCAACAGCGCCAGGACTGAAAGGGCCAGTCGCCACGAGCGGTGAACGCGTCCCACATCCATGCTCTCGCGGTCCGGAGTCCGGGGCGTGACCCCGCGGACACGCGGTCGCGCGGAGGCGTTCCGCACGGGGCATCCGCGAACCAGCGCATGTCACGGCTGCGGCCCAGACCCGGCGGCGCGCCGAGGCGGGATGGAATTTTTCGGACCCTTTCCGCAAGCTCCTGGAAGTCCTTCTCCTCCTCCTCCTCCTCCTCCTCCTCCTCCTCCTCCTCCTCCTCCTCCTCCTCCTCCTCCTCCCCCTCCCCCTCCTCCCCCTCCCCCCCTCCCCCTCCCCTCCCTCTCCTACCTGGCTTCAGGCCGCTTGCTCATCTCACCTCACCCTCCCTCCTCCTCCTCCTCCTCCTCCTCCTCCTCCTCCTCCCCTCCTCCTCCTCCTCCTCCTCCTCCTCCTCCTCCTCCTCCTCCTCCTCTCCTCCTCCTCCTCCTCCTCCTCCTCCTCCTCCTCCTCCTCCTCCTCCTCCCCCTCCCCCCCCCCCCTCCTCCCCCTCCCCCTCCTCCTCCTCCTCCTCTTCCTCCTCCTCCTCTTCCTCCTCCTCCTCCTCCTCCTCCTCCTCCTCCTCGTCCTCCTCCTCCTCCTCCTCCTCCTCCTCCTCCTCCTCCTCCTCCTCCTCCTCCTCCTCCAGGGGCCCAGCCCGCGAGAGGCCGCGGAGGCGGATATGTCTGCCGCCTGCGGGGCCCGCTGGAGAGCCCCATGGGCCTCTGAAGGACCTCCTCCCCGCGGGCCTGGGCGGCGGGGCCGCTGCGGCCGGACTCGGGGTAGCACCGCCAGGGGGATGGGCTCGTGGGGGCCCAGAGATTCGATGTCCTGAAAAAATCCGGCGATCGCAAACATGGATCAATGGGGGCGTGGATTTGTGTGTATTTATTTGTGTGTCCCTGGGCCCCTTCACAGTTGCGCTGCCGCGCGATTCCTCCACCGCGCTCGGGTGGGCGGCGGGGCCGTTGCGGCTGGACTCGGGGTAGCACCGCCAGGGATTCGATGCTCCGAAAAAGTGGGAGCTGCCAGTGCTCCACCACCCACCAAGCCACCCCCACCCAGCCTGGAGGCCTCCATTGGCCCTCCATTTCCAGTGTGGGGGGGGGTCGGGCAACGTTGGAAACACACATATGGAACCCGTACCCCCCCCACCCGAAATTCGGGTCTTCGGGTTAGGTTGGGGTGGTCTGGTAGGTAGTCAGTACTGGGCATGTTTAGGCTTCGACAAAATCCAGGCGATCGCAAACACGGATCAATGGGGCGTGGATTAGCGACGGGTCCCGTTTCCATGGGGAATCGCGGATTCCCGCCGCCGAGCGAGGCGGCACCAGCCGCATTTTGGGGAGGGCACCTCCCCCGATCCATGGATTAGGCGACCGCGCGCCAAATCCATGGATCGCTAATCCATGTTTGCGCGCCCCCGAAAATTGGAGCTGCCAGTACTGGGCATTTTTTGGCTTCCGGGGTCCTCAACGGGCCCCAGGATTGTCAAACAGCGACTCCAGATGAAAAGCCGGCCCTGGGGAACTTGTCCAGACCTTGGGGGTTCCACGCGTCGAACAAATTGGAGCGCCCGATGTCTGGGAGGGGCACTTTCGAGGTTTTCGGTCGTTTTCGTTGGTTCTCGGCGGCTTTCCAGTCTCGGGGTGCTCTCCAGCAGCCGCGCCTTGCCGGGCAGCGTTTCGGGGGGTGCCCGGATCGTCCCGAACGGTCGCAGGAGGCCCCGGTGGTGGCCCGGGAGCCACCGGGTTCAGGGGCAGGTTCAGGGGCAGACGCATCGACCCCCGATCGCCTACTCATCGCCGATGGGGGCCTCGCACTCCGCCCCGCCCAGGAGGGGCCCGTCGCCGATGCATCGGCGATGCATCGCCGGTTCCAGGTCGAGGTTTCTCTCCCCCCGCCTCTGAGCCGTGCCCTCCGCCTTCCTCTCTCACCCTCACGAGCGCGGTGCGGTGCGCGCGGCTGGGTGGCGCGCGAGGGCGCTGCTCTCCATCGCGAGCCCACGACTGCCAAAACGAAGGCATCGTGGCCGTCTCCGTCTGTCCGGGTCCGATCCGATCCGGTCGATCCGATTCGACATCGATTCCGGCCAGCCCGATCCGATTCGGTTCCAATCTATCTCAGCCATGCGCAGAGGGGGGTAGGGGGAGGGGGAAGGCTTCTTAAAAGCACCCTGCCTCTGAGAAGGCGCGGGCCTTGTCTGTAGATGTAAGGCCGGCGCCTTCTAAGAAGCAGCCTCCTTCCAAGAAGCCTTCCCCCCTCCCCCCCTGCCCCCCTTTGCGCGCCGCCAAACCTCGAGGATCCGATGCGGCGCCCTCCATCGTCTTGGCATCCCTCTCGCTCGCTCCGCGTGTTGCCCGACGTGTCCCTGGCCCAAGGTGCACCCAGGATCTGCCCCCACGACCTCCGGGGGCCCCAGCGGGCCCCAGGAGCTCCATCGGGGCCAGAGGGCCTCCGCAGGAGCGGCCCCTCGCAAGGCACAGATGGCTCCTGGGGGAGGAGGGGGAGGAGGAGGAGGAGGAGGAGGAGGAGGAGGAGGAGGAGGAGGAGGAGGAGGAGAGGAGGAGGAGGAGGAGGAGGGGCCCCAACATCGAGAAACTGGGAGACCTCCGCGGGCTGGGACCACTTCTGGATGCGCCCGCTCGCTGCTTCCGGCGGCTCGTTCCTGCTCCCGCGCGCACGCCTCTCTTTCTTGCCCCCCCCGGGCGGCTGGAGAGTTGCTCTTACATGTTACACCGTTCTTCGCCCGCTAGTTGCTGCTCGGTGCCATCTGGCAAGCGCGGCCTCCGAGGTCCCGCACACTAACTACCTGTCAGGGAGGCCTCCGCCTGGCGCCGACGCGCGACCCCCCCCGACCAGCCGCGGTGTGCCCTGGCATCCTCACGCCGTGAACATCGAGAAATAATATACGGCATAATCGGAAACTCTTGGAGATCCACGCGGGCCGTCGAAAGTTTATGTTTACGCAGTTTCTTCTTCTTCTTCTTCTTCTTTTTCCTGTGCTGACATCCTCGCGTCTTGGAAATAGCCACGACGGAAGGTTTTCGGCAACTTTGAGCCCTCGGTGGCCCTTACTTTCAAGGGAGGAACAACCACCCGGACCCGACAATTGACGTTTACTAAATGGCCCTGGGCGTTTACTAAACAGCCCTGCCCTGTTCGATTCCTTCCTTGCGTGCGTTTGCTGACCGGCTTCGCTTGTTGGGGTGATTGCTATGGGGGTTGATTTTCTGCCCTCTATACTAGGCCTCGGGGCAGTCAGGAAACGACTCAGGGTGAGAAGCCCAAGCATTTTTTTTGGGTGGAGGGCAAAGGGGGAAATCTGAAATGCCGTTTCGATGGGGTTTCGAGGCTTGAACCTGCAAAAGGTAATCACAAGACGGATTTATTTTAGAGTTGCAAGAGCCCGTATGCCGAGAGCATGCTCAGAAAGACAGTCCCCAGAACAGGGCCAGGCCTCTGGGGAGCCGCGCGGGGCACGAAACATCACGACGTCGGGCGTCTGGGCGGTCCCAGGCCTGGCACGGAGGGGCTGTTTTTTTTAGTCGGGCACGTCCCCCATACAGGGGGAATATCCCCCAAAATAGTCAAAACATAGTCTGGGTATGATCTTTTTACATTATTTTTAGATTTTGTTGTTGGGGGGGATTTTTTGTTTCTCCTCCAGACTCCGCCTGCAGGAGGACATGCCCGACATGAGGCTTGTTGAGCCGTGCGTCGTCAGTCCGCCCAGCCCCGCCGCGCTGCTTCGGCGGCGACCATGGCTCGTGCTCCTTCAGGGTCGAGCGCCGCCCGTGGGCTCGTGTCGGCTGTGGGCAAGAGTGTGGCCCTTCGCCGGAGTGGCCCGTGGTGCGGTCCCACGGGGGTCCTCCCAGAGCTGGCCCGTGCGCTTGGCTTGTGCCTCCCCGAGGGCACCTAAAGCCGTGCACCAAAGGTCACCCTTGCCTTAAGTCGGGCCTGTCCCTCTACAGGGGGAATATTCAAAAATGGTTAAAAAAATCGAATGGGGACATTTTTTTGAGCATCTTTTCAGTATTTGTGAAGAATTTTTGGGTATTTTTCATTTTTCGTCCAAAATCCCCCTGTATGGGGACATGCCCGACCTAGCTCTTGCCCGGGGTCATTCTTGCGTGCAGTAGATCATGATCGATCGATGTTGAACAGTCTGCGCTGCCAGAAGGCCGCGATCGCACGAGGTTGAACGATCCACGCGGTTTCGAAAGCAGGGGCCGAAGTCGTCCCGGCACGAACCTGCTGTGCGGCCACTTCGCTGGACCAGAGCTCTCATTTGGAGAGCCTCTGGCGCTCAGGAGGGAGTGCGTTCGCGTGCTCTGTCTCTTGCGGCCCCATGCCCAGTCGATCGTTTCGCGTGTGGTGGGTAGTGGGACGATGCTATGGGCGAAGTGCCGTGATCTGATTACTGGCCTCTCTACCCCAGGGATTTTACCCAGGATACTTCAGAGAAGAAATTGGGAGGGGAGGGCTGGAAAGCCTGAGCGAACGAGACCTTGCCCCTCCACGGGGCCCTCAGCCTCGCGTCCTCATCGCGGGCCGCCTGTTGACGAAGCTCTCGGCGTCGTCTCGCCTCCTCCCTTT